CCTGGGGGACAGACAGCCGAAAGGTGGGTGGGGGGAGACGTCGGACAGGGCAAGATATGACAAAATACCCATTTATAAACTATCAAGGGCTCATTAGGGAGGAGGGAGCGGGGAGGGAGGGGAAAAATGAGGACCTAATGTCGGAGGTTTGAGTGGAGAGAAAATGTTTTGAGAAATGATGTACAAATGCACTTTACACAATTGATGTGTGTATGGATTGGGATAACAGTTGTATGAGCCCCTAATAAAATGTTTTTTTTTAAAAAGTAAACAAACACTTGAGGAAAAAAAAAAAGTATTCCTCTGGATTGTACAAGAAGGGAGATAACAGGGCCCCCTGATAAGACCTGATAAACATGAATCAGACTCGGCTTCTTTTTCTCCAGCTTCATCAGAGGCTGGACTCTCCTCGTGTTTCGTTTCTCCATTTTCAGCAGGTAAATCTTTAGCTTCTTGGTCGGCGACTTCCGCCTGTTTCCCCCTTGCCCCTCTTTTCCCTTTTGCTCGCACTGTTTTGTCCCAAGATTGATCCTTTCCTGGGGCCTTTTTTGGCTTACAACCTCTCCGATCTTCTCTTCGGCTCCTCCTTCACCGCCCCTTCGGCCGAGCTGACCTTCCTCTTGGGCATCTTGGCTGTGGGGAGGGCGCTTGCAGAACACCTTCGGACCACGGGCCACCCAGAGCCTTCTCGAAGCTGGATCGCCAGGCGCTGCCGCTCTGCCCGCCGCTGCCCGAGCTGCTAGGACCTGCGGCTGGGGCGGAGTCTTCGTCTTTCTAAACCCATCCTATTGTGATTTTTTAAATGGACCTGTGCATTCTAATCCCCTCAGTCTTAAAGATTCAGATCTACTAAATTGAGGGCAGGGCTTGAATGTGTTCGTTTACAAAAAGCTTCCCAAATGATTCCTATCCATACCTCTTTTTATTTCGAGTTACCGTACCTTACTACCGATGCCTGTTCCCTGGGTGCCTGGGTTCTAGAGCTTCTTCCATCGGCTATCAAGTTACTACTTAGTAACTTCTTGGCCTTTTGTTCCCTTAGTTGCTGCAGATGGACCAGTTTGCCATTTATTTCTCACAAATTTTCCTTTTTTAAACTGGTTGGTCTCATCTATCTTCATGCCTCTCAACTCTTCTAATGTCTGTTGGATTTCCCTCTCATCGTGTATCGTCTATGGAAGTTCCCAAGAGTAATAAGTTGCTTTGTTGGTATGCCATGGGCGTCTGTTTACTCACAGTGTTTCTCAAAAACCCACAGCCACTGTATAGGAGAAAGAGAAAACTGTCACCTCCGGCAAAGATTGACAGAGTTGGAAACCCTAGGGAGCAGTTCTACTCTGTTCTATAGGGCCACCATGAGTCAGAATCGACTGGTTGGCAGTTGATTAGTTTTAGGAACCTTTAAGGTCTTTCCTAAGAAGCCTTGGCGGTATAGTGGCTACCCATTGGGCTGCAATCCCTGTGGCTGGCAGTTTGAAACCACCAGCAGATCCACAGGAGAAAGATTGGGCTTTCTATTCCCATAAACAATTACAGTCTAGACAACCCACAGGGAGTCGCTATGAGTCAGTATTAACTGGATGACAGTGAATTGTGGTTGCAGAGTTTTTTCAAGACCTTCCCTACCTACTCTTCCTCCTCCATCCCTCCAGGCAGGCTGAGCTCCTATCTGTGACTCCTCCACATTTTGTTTCTAGTCTGCTACTCTACTCATTACTTGGCATTATGATAACAATATTTGTGTACATCTGTCTCTGTATGTGATTAGGTCATTGAGATAAGGAATGCCTTATCTTTTTATGAGTTGGCACCCGTGACAAGTGCCTTTCTTTTTTATTAAAAACTAACACATCTTCTCCAAGCCCTTCTGGGACTAGCAAATCACCTTCAACCCACATCCATCTGCTTCTGCCTCATCAAACACATGGCGTTTTCTCATTAACAGAGAGGCTGCCCCAACCCTGTACCAAGTGTAGTTGGCAGTCATTGTGGTATCATGGAAATCCTCTTATCTAAGGAGACCTTGCTGGGCACGTCACTAAAGGAAGGGAGAGTATCTGCTGGCATGTGTGAGGTAGTCACCTGGTGTTACCTATTAAAGATCAACAAAACGGAGCTGATGAATTGGGCTGACTGACTGCTTTGGAAATTTCTAACTGGTACCATGACTGCCTACTTCATGCCAAAAGTATTCTCTGTAGCTGTATTTTATATGGAACATAATGCTAATTTTTTAAGGCCAGAAATCATTTTTAGTGTTTTACATCTTCTAGGAATACATTCTTACTGTGCTGTTTGCATTCACAGTGAATTGTGTCTCTTCTAATAGATCCCCTGGTGGCGTATTGGGCTGCTCACTGCAAGGTCAGCAGTTCGAAACTTCCAGCAGCTCTCCTAGAGATGAGGCTTTTGATTCCCATAAAGAGTTACCACCTCAGAAACCCCGGGAGCAGTTCCAGGCTGTCCTATAGGGTTGCTATTACTCACAATGGCAGTGAGTAATGACTCGATGGCAGTGAGTTTGGTTTTTTGGGGTATGTTTTCAAATGCCTTTTTCACGATGGACTGTCCAAGGTACTGATTTATCTAGCGAAACATGTTAGACATTAAAAAAAAATATGAAACTCGGGCAGTTATAATGATAGATTACGATGTAATTGTATGGCTTTGAATTACATATATTTATGGCTTTGATGTGTGTTATAAAATAATAGCCAAGCATGATACCTGCCAAGAGGCGGAGATGATTTTGAACATGTGGGTGACATCAGACCACACAATAAAAACACAAATCATGAAGGTTTATCACAAGGATCCATGTCGAAGGAGCTACTTTGGGGGTCTTTGTGTTCCCATTTTTCCTGTAAGAATGTCAAAAAGGAACTTGAATCCCAATATTGTTCTCTGTTTTGAAGTGAACTAGGAAAATGTCCCCTAAAGGCAGCATAACTTAATTTGGAAGTGGGTTGCTATCATAATAAATGAAAGAAACAAAGTCTACCCTGTTTTCAGAACAGTCCAGCATCTTCCTGTGGCCTCCCAGCAGGGAAAGCTAGGACCCGGGGTGTGGTTCTTCCATGGTGTGTCTCCGCCGTCTACTCAGTAACTAGGACTGGGGGCAATATTGTAAGCTCAGGACTAAAAGTCAGCTAAGTAAACGAATCTGTGTTTATTTCCCTCACGAGTTACCATAAAACAATTGATTAATTGGCCACAGCACTGCACAGCCACTAACATTCATAGACTTTAAAGTTTGTAAGCCAAGCTGGGTATCTGTCGGTAAGACAGACAGTATAATCAAGAACTCGGGGTTGGGTGCTAGCCTGGAAAGGCCTGGCTCCATTCAGAGTGTCTTACTGCGGGGCAAGATACCCAAGGAGGAATGGAGGCCATGAGCATTTGGATCAAAAGACCCAAATGAGTTTGCTATCAATTTAATGATTTTCGATCTTTCATCCTTCTGTTAAATGAGAAGTTATTATAAAAGTTGCCCTGTCCAGAAATGAAATTGCTAACAGAAGAAAAGCACAGCTCTCTGTGCATGTGTGTGCATGTATAGGTTTGTGTGTGAACTTGGGACAGAGATAGGCCAAGCCAATGCTCTCACACCAGGCATCCAGGTCCCTTGTCCCTCCAGAAAACACTTTCCCTGGGGTCTTAATGTGTCTGTACTGTGAAACATGTGAAGCAGTAAAAGCATAACTTGTACAAAAGCATTTTACATCGTGAACTCAGCTCTGCAGGTACGGAGGAGCCAGGAGGCTGTGTCTGAGCGCTCAAACAGGCGAGGGCTTTTCTGTTCTTGCTTTTGTTTTTCCCTCTGCCGTTGGTAAGTTCCTCGGAAATCACCTCTCAGGTTAGGAGGTGAGAGGTTTCCCAGAAGGAATATTTAGCAAAGAGTCTGGTTCCAAATGCCAAGTAGCTGGACTCCTGGAGAGGACGAGGGGTTGTAACAAGGGCCGAATGGTGAAAGGGTGGATTCCCTGTGATAAGTTTCCATTCATTCACTCTGGGCTCTCCCTAGGAGAAATAAGATATTGAGTCCAGGGACCCAGCAGCTAAAGATAAGTTACCAAAAATCACTCGCCTTGAAAACCACATTTGGATTCGATTAGAAAAGACCCCCAGATGAGGATGAACAACAGAAATGTCGGTGAAGGGGGACAGCAATTGGTATAAGATATGAAAATAATAATAATAATTTACCAAGGGGTCACAAGGGTGGGGAGTGGGGAAGGAGGGAAAAAGAGAAGCTGACACCCAGGGCTCAAATAGACAGTAAATATTTAGAAAATGATGATGGCAACAAACATGCTTGATACAATTGATGTATGGAATGTTATAAGAGCTGTAAGAGCCCCCAGTAACATGATTTTTGTAAAGACATTATTCCAATTAAGATATGGGTGTAAAATGTGAATTCGTTGTTTTGGTTCTGTACAAGAAATAACAAAGTTGAATGATAGTGGCCCCCAGAGCCTTGTCTTTAAACTTAACAGACCCATTGTTGCAGGAGGAAGTCCGCAGACTCAGTCTGAGGGACGGCCCTGGGATCTCTCCAAACCTCAAGCACAGCGCACCTTGATGCGCTGACCTTGGTCTCCTAACACAAACGCCACGCCCCCCGGAGTCCCTAACCCTCCTGTAGAGAAATTAAATGGCAGGAGGTAGATTCTCGTGCGCTAAAACTACAAAGACAAAGCCACCAAGTTACAGCCTGTGGTAGCGTGTTTATAACCCATTGCTTCTTATATGGCTCTGTGGGCCTGCAGCTCTGTGAGAGGGTGGGGCCCCAGCAGCCCCCCCTTACTCCCCCCCTCATTCCCCCTCCCGCTGCATTTACTTAGGCTTGCCGTATTGATTTCGCCCCACTGCAACCCGTGGGTCCCTCTGTGCTTATCAGGAATGATAGAGGGCTCGTTTGCCCTTATCACTCTTTCATTTCTCTCCCCTAGTCCTGCTGGTAATTATTAATGTAATGTAAATGTCTTTTCTTCCAGTCCTCCTCGACCTCTGACTAACATGAATGACACCATGGTTAGCCACATGTCCTCGGGAGTGCCCACCCCCACCAAGAGGTATGTTTGTCTGTGCCTGGGTCCCTGCTCAGGGGAGGTCCAGGCCCCTGCCACTGCTGTGCCGCATCCCCCACCCCCACCCCCAATCTGAGGCCCCAGGAGCAGAGCACGCCACAAGGCAGAAAGGGACTAGCTCTCCCTTGCTCCTCTTTTAACTGTCTTATTATTTTCTTCTTCTTATCTCTTGAATGTGGAACATGTAAAGGAGTCTGCTTTTGAGCAGTGCCTGAGGAGGGAACTTCATCTGTGACAAGCCATGAGCAGAGTGCCAAAGCAGACTAGGCATGTTTGAGACATAAAAAAAAGCTAAACCACAAAGCAATATTTTGACAGTCATGCGTTTCAACAATTTTGTATTTGAGTTCTTTGCATGTCAGAGATCATTTCTACATTCTGATTAGTTATATGCACTGCATTAATCCCTAAGTACACTTCTGAGTCATTCTGGATGCAGCTTTCAGCACGGAAGGTGAGACACCCCCGTCCCATGCTTTTTTTCAGTGAGGAGTTTGCTGTAGGGTCCTTCCAGGAATGAGAACTGTGTGTTCCTTTCTCCTCTTACTTCATTTACTCCAAAAATTCTTTAGGCGGGACATAAAAAGACTCTATAAAATGGCTTACATTCTATTTGATTAAGCTGTTCCAGGGTTAGAGAGAAAGAGGTGCAGAAACTGCCCCCCCCCCCAGGTTACAACCATTCTCACAGTCATCACCCAAAAAAACAAAAAGAAAAAAAATACAACCAGCAAAACAGCAAAGAAATTCCGCCCAACCCCCACTGCCGCAGTCCTTCCTGAAGAAAGCAAGCACTTCGTGACACTGCGCTGATTGCCCCAGATGACTTCAGCTGCAGAAACATTACTCTCTAGCAGCACTGGATTTCACATGCACAGAAGGGCTTCCAACCGTTTGTGGGGAAATGGAATTGAAAGGTAATTGAATTGTCCCAAGAACTTTTGGGAAAACCCCTCATATGTAATCCTTAATACTTAAAGCCAACAAGTTTTGCTCCCAGTGGCTAAAACTTCCATAGCAAACCTGCCCGTGAGAAGGATTACCTTCGTCACTTGTTAAAAACACAAGACCCCATCAGACCCAACGCATCAGAATTGAAGAGAGGAGTTCTTTCCAATGTGCTCCAGAGGAGTCTTATTTTCAAGCAGGCTTGGGAAACTACTTTAGAAGGAAGCTAAGGAGTAAACTGCTAGGCTATCCTGGAATAGAGGACCTTAAGTGCCTTAATAATACAACATCATCCAAGAGAAAAAAGAGGCTTTTTGCTCCCATCAAGATTTACAGCCTCAGAAGCCTCCTGGGGCAGTGGGCTTTGCCCACAGGGTTGCGGCGAATTGGAATCAGCTGGGTGATGGCAGTGGCCTTAGTTAGCTACACGCAGGTGTAGACCCCGGACAGGTCGGAACATCGCCCACAGCTTTGGTAGAAGGAACACTTCTAGCCAAGCAACAACCACATTGCAGAATTGTGAGGTTTATCATCGAGTAAAAATATAGGCTTTTGAGCCAGATAGTCTTGATTTCGAAGCCTGGCCCTACCCTGACTGAGGGCAAGTTTGTTATTTATCTTCAATTTTTCATCATTAAAGTATCAGTAAATGTAACAGTCAGAATAGAAACGACGTGACTATTCGCGCTTAAAGAAAAATGTAGCACGTCACCCAACAACCTGGGTGGGAATGGCTGTACGAGCATCTACTCGTCTCTGTAACCCTTACCGAAAACACACACAGTAGTAGTTAAAACAAAAACACTGCCCTCTCCCAAGGGGGACACTAATCGGATCTGTCTTGGGAGGTTTAGGTAAAGATTTAATATATTGTTTTAATATTTAGGAAGCAACCAACTTAGGAAAGAGAGGACGAATGAGGAAGAGACAAATATTTAAGAAGACCATCCCCTCAAGGAGGAACAGGAATTTTCTGGAAGAAGAAAGAGCAATTAAATTCCTCCTGCCTATTAGTTATTTCAAAGATTCCTGCCCAGTCCTTGGTTTTGTGTTTGTTTGTTCAAACACACCCAGCACTCAGGCTCAGGGAGCCCCTGTGCTGTAGTGGTTGTGTAGTGGGCCTAGATCCTCAAGGTCTGCAGTTGGAAGTGACCAGCCACTCCCTTAGAGAGTGACAGTCTCGGAATCCCACAGGGGCAGCTCTACCCTGTCCTGTAGGGCCGTGGAGAGCCAGCAGCCACTCCATGGCAGACTCAGACCCAGTTCAAGGATTTTTCCATTTCAAATCCTGGAACACCAGATGGGTTATCGAAAGAAGTCCGTGCACAGGTTCATGTGAGTGTTTGAAACCCCATCGATTGAGTAGGATTTCACCTTTTTGCCTTTATTCTGCTCTTCATTGAGCAGCTTTGTCACTCACTCCTGAGCACCCAAGGGCCCTAAGGGTCTGGAGACATCAGATGTGCTGGATCCGGTGACCAACCACCAGCACTGAGTGTATTGTAGGGGTGGTCTCTCTGGACAGTGTTTCTTTGCTGGAGGAGACTGGGGGAAATGATGTCAGCACCGCGGTAACCACAGCCACCTTGTAGAAGGCATCACCAGACTCATAGGCTAGGCTAGATCTTGCTCTGTTAAAACCCCTGGCTCAATCCCAAGTGGCCGTTGCAATTGCTGTGCTTGAAAGCTTCTTGCTTTGTGCAGGATAGCCAACCTGAGATTTTCTTTAGTGTTTCAACTAACAACTTTCAAGTACCCTTTGCCAGACCTAACAATGGCTATTATATGCTCTCTAGCTACTCATCCATTTACCAAAGGTGGACAAAACCCTTAGCCAACCAGAAAAGACTGTTGACCTTTGTTTTGAGGGGGGTGGGGAGTTTGTTTTGTTTTTTTAGAAAGTTGAGCCTTGCAGCTGACCAAAATGCTTGGGTGCAGGTGATGTGAGAACACGTTAAATTTTAGAAGAGTTTAATTTATATTTGGTATGAGAGGATGACATAACATTTAAATATTAATTGAACCATTCATTAGCTTCTTGATAATGCTGGTCATGGCCCCAGGTACCAAGTAGTCTACGTTTCCAGACAGTATTCTGTTTGCTTCCTCAAGGCCTCAGCCGTTTTCCATGCCTCCTGTGAATATCTGCAGATCTGGTCTCCAGAGTTTGTGGAGAGCCAGGACAGGCACATGATCACACTCACGGAGCTTCTCTCTCCCGAGGCCGGGGACCCTCCAGGGGATGAAACCTCTGCAGAAACAGGGTCTGTTTTAGAACACATCACTTCCTGAGGCATACGTCACTGGATCAGACAAGAGCATGCCCAGGAATAAAAAACGCAAGAAAAAAAATGAAGAAATTGGGTTTCTGCCTTCTCAGCGGGCAATGTGTATCAAAATCATAGTGCTCAAGAGAATAGTGTATTTGTTCACATACAAGACCGCCTCAAGTGTAAGGGAGCCCTAGTTTTTAGAGAAGCAAACCGTCTGCGTGGCAGGGGGGCTGACCGCTGTGTGAGGCTCTGTTTCTGAGAGGGACTCCTCAAGCTAGAGTACTGTGTGCTCCACAGTGGGCCTTTAATAGTCCTGTCCTGCTGTCTCTGTGCATGAAAATACATTTGGACTTTGCCTTAGATTAAGTACTGTTCTTGGGGCTTGCTTGCTTTGAAAAGAATGAGAATAGTGCATTTCAAAACAAGCCAACAACAAAAAACTGGATAAGAAATTAATAAAAAACAGGTGAAACTTTAAAAGAGGCTTAAAACCTTCTCCCCGTGTTTTCCGCTCAGGCTTGCTTCGAGTTCTGTTCATCCCCATAGTTCAGAGAGTGAATTGTGTTGTTTTTAAGTCCTTGTACGATTTTAAGTCATACCTCATATTCAGACCCTTAAGGAAAACAAGGTAGTATTTTGGGTTTTTAACTGCCTTATAGAGCTTTAGCTTTAGTTATGAATGCTTAGGCCTTTACATTATGCCTTGCATTATGCATTGGGTTGGTATATTCATTATACCAACTTTTTATAGTTATACCAACACTTTTAATTTCAAGTTAGTAAAACACTCTCAAGAAGGCACAAAGACAGAGTAGCCCAGCGCAGACAGGGAAGGCTTAGTGTGGATCACAAAAGCCACTCCAGTGCCACCAGGCAGGGGTTCCATCTCCACCTCTTGGCTTCTTCTCCAGGGGGCGCCATCCTCACTCCCTCCCGCTGCGGAACAGCTTCCCCCCATAGCACTGGTACCTGCCTCCCACTCGCATCTCACAGGGATGCCATCCCGCGGGGTGCCTTCCCTCTCAGGTTTCAAATAGAAAAATTCAAGAAAGAAGCCTATTGCCCTGGACTGTATCACTGTCCATTGGTGATGTGGATTGGCCAGGCCCGTAGACCTATCTTGTCCCCCAAAATGAGAGTTATACTGTCTGAAAAGAAGAGCAATCCTGGGCAAAAGGAAATCATAGAGGACCTTAGCAGACCGCCTCTTTGCTACGCAGCACACAGCTCTGGGCAAACGCACACACCTGCACACACGTATATGCTCTTGCCCACAAACACTTCCCCTTCCAGAACGGCCCTCTTTCAGGGAATGCAGTTCTCCACACGTGTTTGCACCCTCCCAGTTATTTTATCCACCTCTTAAAGTCAGCCCTGGGTCCAGAAGATCTGGGTGAAGTCCCGTCTGTCCAGTTCACGTCTAGGTATGTCTTTTTTGTAATTCATTAACCTATGGATCCAATGATAAATGTTAACCCCTCCCACAGTTCCAGTCTACCAGGACCTCTCTCTCGCTGCACTGAGTCAATTCCAACTCATAGCAACCCTGTAAGACAGAGTAGAATTGCCTCTGTGTGTTTCCAAGACTGTCCCTTTATGGGAGTAAAAAGCCTCATCTTTCTGCTGCAGAACAGCTGGTGGTTTTGAACCGCTAACCTTATGGTTAGCAGTCCAATACATACACACTACACCACCAGGGTTCCTTAGGGATTTGAAAATAGGGTATTAGCAATTAGGAAAATCGCCCATTTAGAGAAGTAGGGA